GCCAGTAATTTTATCGAAAGTAAAATTCTCAAGACGGTTTCTGACATGTTATGACCATTACTAGAATGTGCAATATGAACACGTAAATTATAAGTCACGAATTTTGCTGCATCAATGCAAAACGCACTTGTAATGTGTTGATTTCGTGGAGAAACACTTATGATCTGATATGCAAAACGACCTCATTTAATACGATTTCGTTGCACACAACTAGTCAACTCACGAACCAAACCACCGCATTAAACGAGGCCGACTTCAGTCTAAAAGCTGTTTTTTAAATGTTCTTGATATAAACTCTTGTGCATATTACACGTATTCTGCAATTTTTGTGCATATTATGCGTATTTTAAACGTTCTTAAAATTTTTTTGTATTATACGTATTCTTGATGTAAACTTTTGTGCTTTGTGCATATACGTATTTTGTGCATATAGATAGCATTGATGTGCTTATATTTGTTGATGAATGATTAAATAAAGGGAATTAGTGTAGAAATTGATTGCTTTTTGCAGTTTATGCCAGCATATCGAACCGACGAGAGGCAGTTTTGTGGATTCGATTAGTAACTTTGGAATTTTTCTTTTTTTTTGACGACAAGCACTGCTGATGAATATGAAATAGTCGAACAAGTGAATGGATGGGGAATAAGATTAACTTAACGAGTTCATTCATGTGAAAATACAAAAATTTTCCAATTTAATGAGAATGTATGAAATGAAACTACTAAAACGCAACACGAATAAGAGTTATTATCATAAAGCAAACAAAAAATAATGATATCCAAAGTGAACATGAGCAAAAAAGGTGATCAATTAATGATACGAAAACAATGATTCAATTGATTACAATTTACAGATGTATGAGTACACTCGCAATTCAATAATAACAATCAAACTTATAATTACAAAAGAACAAAGCACNTAATCGAGGTTTTAAAAAAGATCGAACCGTCATCAGAGAACGAAATCTTCAAAAAGCTTCAAGATGAAATATTTGAAACGAGAACAATTTACAATTGAACGTTTAATGAAGTGATTTGAAAAATTTGATACAGGTAAAGATAAAAATGGAACAAATTCTGCGTTACCAATCGAAATGAACTCTCATAGTCTGCAACACTAAGAAAGAATTTCTTACGAAAATGTCTGATAAATGATCTGTATTCCAGATGCATTTTCATATCAAGACTGAAATGAGGTGAAACAAATTTCGAGATACAATTATGTACTGAACTGATATTTGATGGCGATAAATATACAAGCCGTCAACACATTCACACAAATAACATCGAATTAATTTAAAAGATATTAACACTGAATCAAACAATCAAAAACTACCGCTCAGTATTGCATTCACAATAAAACTGCTTAGAATCTCATTGCAGTATGTGCACCAACAATTTTAAAACTCAGCATATTACACGACACAAATGCTGATACTTCACTGGATGAATTCAATCACTTTTTGAGTTTCTTAGCGAGATTTGAGCCCCTTTTTTTAGTCTCTTTTTGCTTTTCTTTCGTATCTGTTGCCTTCCGTTTCGCTGCGGTCGGTTCGGTGCGAACGGTTGACTGCACCTTGAAGAATGAATCGATTCGACCTTGTTGTCCTGACTGTCGACCTTTTTCCATTCTTTGTAAACTGCTTTTTATTCTTTCCTCACTGCAATACGATTCATTCAATGAATAAAGCACGCAAACAATTTCATGACTTGAATGTTTTAAGCAAAATTCAATTTTAATCACTGTCTACTTCAATGCAAATTTTTTGTGACTCATTAAAAAAAAAGCAACACAAGAAACGTGAAGAAAACTCCCCATTCATGTGTCTTTATAAAACTGTCTTATGGAAACAACGATTAATCACGAGTCATATGGTTGTTGGTCCCAATTTACTATACGCTAAACCGTAAAACATCAAATACAACTCAAAAAATTCCAACTTTAAACTAAAAAAATTTATTTCGACAAAAAAAAAAAAACAAACTGAAAACATACCTGAAATTTTTCTCGCCACATAAATACTGAACGATCGCATCAATGTCAGGTTTACCCCACTGCAGCTGAAATATTCAACGAAACTACGGTAACATCTCATTTCGTTCTTTCGATGAATGCATTTGGCGAAAAAAAGCTGATACATCTTAACAGTCACTCCAACAAACGAATTTCAATTATTTCAAAACATCCCTTCAATCACATCTCACTAATAAATCAATAGAAAGATGTGATAAAGTAATATCTCATGCATTTCGTAAGATGTTTCTACAAATTCTTATTACATTTCAGCTAAAAATTCTTCAGATTCTTTATCTCGTTCTAAAAATTTGGAAATGATCAAATATTCAGCACAAACAAATAAGAAGTACGACCAATTTCAAACAAACCGTCAAGTTTTCGCATGAATCAACTTCTGGTTTTATGAAGAGCCTGCGAGCTTCTTCGTATTGCCAGTTCTCAGGAACTGGGTATTTCTGGAAATCAAAAAAACGTTTTAAATCAAAATTTCAAGCTTTGCGAATGACAACAACGAATCAATTAATAAATCAAAAAACTGATACTCAAAAACAACGTAATCGACTGAACACAATGTGAAAATTCAAAATGAAAACCCACTGAAGAATTACAACTTTTTTATAACAAACCTCAGTGTCGATATTCTCGAGTACATTTTCAATTGTTTTGTGTTTTTGGATTAATTCGAACGCCTTTTTCGGCCCGATACCACGAATCGTTTTCGTGTAATCACAACCAAGAAGAATGCATAAATCCACGAATTGTGGCATATCCATTTCAAAATCCTTCAAAACTTGGTCCAAATTTATTTCCTTGACTGGTAACTTCTTCATTTCACTGCAACGGTTTTCATTTTTTAAAAAAATTAACGCATTCACAAAATATCTCGTATTCATTCGTATCTGTGACAGTCTTTACTCCTTCCCTTTTCTCAATATGTATTGAAATCGTTAGATATTTCTTCAACTCATAGTTGGAGATATTTCTTCAACCCTATCGGCACGCTTCCACACACGCAAATATGTCAGCTTAAAGTGAAATCAGTCTATTTTGTAATTGAATAAAATTGTTTACAATGAAAATTCCAAAAGTTTTCTGATCATAGTAATTGAAAAATACTGAATGCATCCTTTTCTTGACATATACATTCACAAGGAACTTATCAACTTTTATGCATCACGAAATGATGCAAAATACCTTGCGGTCAGTTGTCTGAGTAGAATTTTGGTGCCAAACGCTAATGCATCCATATCTTCGGTGGCTGTCGCGAAAACTTTTCCGGATCGAACCAGAGCTGCGCACTGTGCCTCTGCTTCACAAGGGGCTTCTACCACCGGAACACCCATCAATCTGAGCAACTTCTTCGACTCTTCGTTTTGCTCTTTTGTCACCTTGAGAGATTTTCGTTATTTCCTCATAAATTAGTTCATAACACAATGATTAGTTATAAATCGAGAAAACCAATTTAGAATTTTTTGGAATAATTTGAAATTTGATAACGAACAATAACTGGATCGTTCTTATCATAATTGTGCTCCGCAGACACATATCTCAATAGTCAGAATTAAAACGGTTTTGGTCAAAACCAACAATTGATTCGAGTTTGGCGATGGTTTTCACCAGCAGCTTTCTCATCTCTGAGATATGACGAATTCTACATACAACGCTTGAAGTTACCCTTATTTTGTTCATATACCAAATAAATAAGATTAACAGTAACCATCACAATAAACTTCTGGATTGAAATGAAGTAATTCTTCAAGAAACCTTAACAAGTCTCCGGTCGAATTTCTCCACCGCAATCGTATCACCCTTTTCTTTGGCATCTGCCAGTTGTTTTTCTGCTTCGGCTCTACGTTCCGCTCGTTTCACCAGTTCTTCAGACTTCATTTCGGGTGGCTTACCATCGAACACGTAAACTGGTTTGATACCATTGGTGATCATTCGAACTGTTCGATAGAACATTCCCATCAAATGACTAAATCATTTTCATTTATTCATTCATTCTGTTCCATTTCAACTCAAATTTTGATTCGAACAAAAATTCAGCTGCACATACAGTGAAGGACGCCCCAACTCGAGCACAGTAAACTAAAATACATTTGAATCTTAACAGTTGAGGCAGTGACTCAATTTGTGTTGAACAATAGTGCCGCACTGAATTCATGAGGACATTCAGTAAAAATTGTGGATGTTCCCGGAAATTCTTCTTGAGTATAATAAACAAAACTGTTTCCAAATATGAGTAGCTACGAATCAAGAAAACCGATTTTAAAATGAAATGAAAAAATAAAAATAACAGAAATACGACTAGCAATAATGAATGAATGGTACCTTGTTGTTTCACCGGATTCATCTTGCAATTGATTACCACCTTGACGAACGGCAATTAAGAACTGATACAGACACATTGAAGCATCGATCGCGACGATTCGACCAAAATAGTTCTTGATCTCGTTCAGCTTAACGCTTGTTGGTGAATGATCACCGATCACTTTCGAGAGATCTTTAATTCCCATTCTTTGAGATTTTCACACCTTCAAATATAAATGCTTGGAGATGGAAACTCATCCAGATTATACAGAAAATCACCAAGTAGATCCTGTGTTACCTACGGCTGCCGAAAGCGAGCCAGACGCTGATGGACGCTTTTGCCGCATAACAAAAAACACGGGGATTATAATTTGCGAAATTAATGCAGGAGCTTTTTCTGACTTCCCGTCTGCCTAAAATCCAAAGTAATGGGAAATGAATGTCTTAAAATAACCCCTAC